ATATATTATATGTATTTGTGTGAGAGAGAGAGATCCTTCCATATCAATATACAGAGCTATTTTGTTTTTTCAAATGGCTGTTTATACACTATATTCTAGATCTGAAAGGATTTATATCTTACACATTTTTGATAGACATGAAATAAATTGCCCTGTAAAGAAGTTATAACTCTTTATTAGTATGTGAACAAACCATTTCCCCACATCTCTGCCAACACTTTGTAATATCGAAAGTTTTTCATATTGTCAACAGGATAGGAAAAATAGCATTATATTGCTGTCTTAATTCTTATTTCTTATTATGATTTCTGCTTCTGGTGTCTTGCTTAAGCAATTATCCTATAAAGGTAATCTCTCATATTTTCTTCTAAATCCTACAGACTAATCCAATCATACTAAAATCACCTGGAACAAATCCTTTGGTCATGGCATATTTTATTTTTTAAAATTCTTTATTGTTTAAAGTATTACATATGTCTCCTTTTCCCCCCATTGATCTCTCCCTAGCCATTCCAGCACATGCTCTCACACCCCACCCTACTGTTTATGTCCATTGGTTATGCTTATATGCATGCAAGTCTTTTGGTTGTTCTCTTACCCGCTGGTTGGACCGTCTGTTCAATGCTTCTATGTCTCTGGGTCTATTTTTGTTCATCAGTTTATGTTGTTCATTATATTCCACAAATGAGTGAGATCATGTGATATTTATCTTTCTCTAACTGCTTATTTCACTTAGCATAATGCTCTCCAGGTCCATCCATGCTGTTGCAAATGGTAAGAGTTTCTTCCTTTTAACAGCAGCGAAGTATTCTATTGTATAGATGTACCACTGTTTTTTAATCCACTCATCTGCTGATGGGCACTTAGGCTGTTTCCAAATCTTAGCTATTGTAAATTGTGCTGCTATGAACATAGGGGTACACATATCCTTTCTGATTGGTGTTTCTGATTTCTTGGGATATATTCCTAGAAGTGGGATTACTGGGTCAAATGGAAGTTCCATTTTTAATTTTTTGAGGAAGCTCCATACTGTTTCCCACAGTGGCTACACCAGTCTGCATTCCCACCAGCAGTGCACAAGGGTTCCTTTTTCTCCACATCCTCGCCAGCACTTGTCACTTGTTGATTTGTTGATGATAGCCATTGTGACAGGTGTGAGATGGTACCTCATTGTTGTTTTGATTTGCATCTCTCGGATGATTAGTGACTTTGAGCATGTTTCCATGCTTGGCCTTCTGTATGTCCTCTTTCAAAAAGTGTCTATTTAGGTGCTTTGCCCATTTTTTGGTTGGATTGTTTACCTTGGTTTTGTTAAGTTGTATGAGTTCCTTATAAATTTTGGAGATCAAACCCTTGTTGGATATAACATTGGCAAATACATTCTCCTATGCAGTGGGCTTTCTTGTTTTGTTGATGGTTTCTTTTTCTGTGCAGAAGCTTTTTATTTTGATGTAGTTCCATTTGTTTATTTTCTTTTTAGTTTCCATTGTCCTAGGAGCTGTATTGGTAAAGATATTGCTATGACATATGTCTGATATTTTACTGCCTATGGATTCTTCTAAGATTTTTATGGTTTCCCATCATACATTTAAGTCCTTTATCCATTTTGAGTTTATTTTTGTGTACGGTGTAAGTTGGTGGTCTAGTTTCATTTTTTTTGCATGTATCTGTCCAATTCTCCCAGCACCATTTATTGCAGAGACTGTCTTGACTCCATTGTATGTTCTTGCCTCCTTTGTCAAATATTAATTGAGCATAGTGGTTTGGGTCGATTTCTGGGTTCTCTGTTCTGTTCCATTGGTCTATATGTCTGTTCTTGTGCCAGTAACATGCAGTTTTGAGAACAGTGGCTTTGTAATATAGCTTGATATCTGGTATTGTGATCCCTCCTACTTTGTTCTTCTTTCTCAGGATTGCTGCAGCTGGTCATGGCATATTTAAAAAAATTTTTTTTTAAATTTCAGACTGTACTTCTTTTTTCTTTTTGTTTTTTGGTTAATCCTCACCAGAGGATATTTTTTGCCATTGATTTTCAGAGAGAGTAGAAAGGAAGGAGGAAGGGGGAGAGAGACAGACAAGAGAGAAACATCCATGTGAGAGAGACACATTGATTAGTTTTTGTGCCTGACCAGGCCCAGGGGTCAAACCTGCAACCCAGGAATGTGCTCTTGACCAGGAATTGAACCCATGAGCCTTCAGTGTGTGGGTCTGTACCCTAACCACTGAGACCACCAGCCAGGGCCAGACCATGCTTTTTATTTTAATTTTTTAATTGAATTTATTGGGGTGGCATTTGTTAATAAAAGTATACAGGTTTCGAATGTATATTGCATTGTGAATTTGCCACAAAGTCATATTTTCCATCCTTCCATCATATTTTTTAATACAATGTTGAATTTGATTTACTAACATTTATTTTTGTACATATTTATATTTATTATTTTGCATATATATTAATAGAGGAATTTATCTATTATTTTCTTTCTTATATTTCTTTTGTCTGGTGTTCATAATAAAGTTCTTATCTATATATATAAAGAGCCAGGGGCCATTGCAACCGAACAGATGACCGAATTGACAACAGAACAAGGCCAGCAGGGGGGTTAGTGAGGGATGACCAAACGACCAAACAGCAGACTGTGTGGGGCAACCAGGCCAGCAGGGGAGGCAGTGAGGGGTGACCAGGCTGGCAGGGGGGAGGCAGTTAGGGTCAACCAAGCCAGCAGAGGGGGGCTGTTGGGGGAGACCAGGATGCCAAGGGGGGCAGTAAGGGGCACTTAGGAGCCAGCGGTACCGGATTGTGAGAGGGTGCAGGCTGGGCTGAGGGCCACCACCCTGCACGAATTTTGTGCACTGGGCCTCTAGTAACCTCATAAAAAAGTGTCTAGTCCCTGAGACAGTTTATATAAGGTAAAGAGTATCTGTACTTCAAAGGCTTGGTGGAGTTCTCAAATGAAATCATCTGGCATTAGTGTTTTAGGGTGAGAGAAGATTCTTGATTGACAATTCAATTTTTTTATGTTAGTAGATTTATTTAGGTTTTTCTATTTCTTCCTAAATCAGTTTCAGAAAATTATATTTTTCTAGAAAATTATCCATTTTTTAATAGTTTTTCAATGCATTTGTCTGGGGATTTTTAAAGGATATCATTTTTTTTTTAGGTGATAAAGAGAACATTTATTTAACTAAAGGAATAAAAGGAACACTAATAAAAATTTAAATACCTAAAATGATATCATTTAATCATTAATACTCTGCTGTTTAATCTGCCTAGTATAGATTTATTTATTTATTTAATCTTGGTCATTACCCTGAGTATCATTTTGATTAGTGAACTCATTCTTAGCAATTATCCTTTCAAAATATTGCTTTTTCTCCCATTCTCTTCCTTTAGAGAGCTACTAGATTCATGACTTTCGAGCCTCTTCAACTATTGCCTGTACTTTTAAAAAATATTGTTAATCCTCACCAGAGGATAATATTTTAAATAATATTTTTATTGATTTCAGAGAGGAAGGGAGAGGGAAGAGAGACAAAAACATCAATGATGAGAGAGGATCATTGATTGGCTGCCTCCTGCACACCCCTTACTGGGGATCGAGCCCACAACCTGGTCATGTGCCTTTGACCAGAACCGAACCTGGGACCCTTCAGTCCT